TGGATCCAACCGAATGTCCTCATTCCAAATTTCAGGATCCCATTCATTCTCATCAATGCTTTTTCACATGAAAAACTTGGTAAAGCTGTGAATTAGACAATACTGCAATTCAGCAACCTACATAATAAAATTTTTGTTTGCTTTTAAGTGATATCAGCCTGGTACCTACAAGAAATAAGATAATCTTTTAGAGTTGACATGGAAGCTTTCTGGTTCTCAGACTATAAATTAAACTGAGGGTGAAAAGACACAATTTTTTCATTTTCCTTTGGTAAGCAAGCACCCTCAAAAGAATGTATCCCACGTCACAATCTTTTGTTCATCATCACTGCCATAATGACTGAGTGCTGTAGCCACCTGGACTGCCAAACACATACTTCTCTTGTTACTTAACTACAGGTGACAGCATAATTTACCTTGATGTCACTACATGCTGTGGATTACCAGAATATCATTTGGCATTGGCAGGTGGTTCAGCCCTGCCTTCAAAAGGGCACAGCCAAACAAATCTCCAAATCCTGCCTTCATAAGGTTATCTCTGGGGATCACTTCTGGTTTCAGTTCTATACAGTCAGGGTTCAAACAGGAAACAGAAACAACACAGTAATTTGAACAGAAAAGGAGTTTTTAAAAACTGTGAATTATAACGGGTTTACCAACTAAGGGAACACAAGAGAATGCTGAGACTAAAGTATCTCCCCAGTGCCCTCTACTGACTGATAAAGTTTAATATAAGTCCTCATCAACACTGTTATTTAACATTTTACTCTAGCCATCCTAGTGGATGAGGTACCTCATTGTAGTTTTGATTTGCATTTCCCTGATGACTAATGAGGTTGAGCATCTTCTCATGTGCATATTGGTCTTTTGTATATCTTCTTTGGAGAAGTATCTGTTCGGATCACTTGCCTGGTTTACAATTGGATTTCTTTTGTTGTTGAGTTGTAAGAGCTCTTTATATATTCTAGATACACGTGCCTTGTCAAATATATGATTTGCATTTATAGATTGTCATTGTATGGACAGTCTTTTCACTTTCTTGATGGAGTCCTTTGAAGCACAGATGTTTTTAATGTCTCTGAAGTCCAATTTATTTTTGTTTTCAAAAGCACCTCAAGTTTCCACACACTCTGTTTCTCAAATAAAATAAGAGTTCCTTTGTGGAGAGTTTTGGAACTGTCTTATCTTATTGGTTGCCTCTCTTCCTGGGCAAAATCTCTGAACCACTACTCTGTGAGTTCTTCAGGGTGGTAGGCTCTGATGTACTTGGGTTGCCTCTCAGTGCATAAAACCTGTTCATTATGAGTGGACCAGAGCTAGAATTGGAGCCCCAGTATTCTTGGCCTGCCATGCCTGCAGTGATGCCTCCAATCCATGGATTAGGGCTGGATGTAAAAATAAGCCCCTTCTCCCGATCTCTTAGCTGCACTCATCTAGGATTTAGCCTGTTCAACTTGGAGTTGGGGGAGATAAGAAATGCTATTGGCCTGTCCCTCCCACTAATATATGAAAATACTTGACTGGGAGATGAGGGAGAGGGAAGCTTGTCTGCTTGGCTACCCTCACCTTGAGAGAAGCTTCTATCAAGCTGAGAGGCGGGGAAGAAGGGAGAAGCTCTATGTAAAATGCCACAGGCTCTTGTTGTTTTTATTGGGTTAATTTTGTGGATTTTCCTGAATAAATGTTTTCTAATTTGGTCTATGCCCTTAGGACAATTTCCAGAGACTTTGAGTGTATTAAAAAAAAAAAGTTTTCACCAACTTTGCTTGTTTCACAGGGAAGTGGGCTCACAGAGCTCTTCACATGGCCTCCCAGAAATAGAACATCATTCTTTTTTACTTGTAAGTTACTTATATCTTTGTATTTAAAGTTGAATCTATTAAAAGAAAAAACCTTAGACAAGTTAAATTTAACAGATTTTAATTGAGCAAAAAATGATTTGTGAATTAGGTAGCCCTCAGAACCAGAATAGGTTCTAAGATCTCTGACCTGCAGTGTGAGTCACACAGCACTTATGGACAGAACAAAGTGATGTACAGAGACAACTTAATTGATTATAGCTGAGCATTTTGCCTTATTTGAATCAGTGGTATCCTGCAATTGACTGAAGCTCAGTTGCTCTAATTGACTGAAATTCAGTTGTTTGTTATAAGAGTATACTCCTAAATTAGGCTTTCAGTTACTTTATGCATTAAGTTAGGATACAGTTTGTTACAAAATTACTCAAGTACAGAGGCATCCTCAGGACAAATTTAATTTAGCTTGAGTGTCTTGTAGACAGCATATGATTGATTTTTTAAAATTCTGTCTGATAGTCTTTACTCTTTAATTGGGGTGTTTAGGCCATTTATATTTAATGTGATTATTTATATGGTTGTGTTTATATTTATTGACATTTGCTTTCTATTTATCTCATTGTTCTTTGCTTCCTTTTCTTCTCTTTTTGATTTCTTTTAAGTTAGTTAATTGAGTGTTTTTTATTATATATCTCTTTTTTTGAATTATTGGATATAATAAATTTTTGTTGTATTGCTTTAGAGTTTATAGTATATATCTTAACATTAACACAGTCTACCTTCAAGTGAAATTGTATCACTTCACATCTAGTATAAAGACCATATCACAATAAACTGTTATTCTCCTCTTCCAGCCTTTGTGCTACTGTTATCATATATCTTATTTCAACATTATAAATCCATAATATATTTTGTATGTTTTTCCTTTGAGCAATCATTTATCTTTTAAATACGTTTAATATTTTTGAAAGTATTTTATATTTATTCACATTCTAACAACTTTTAATGTCTTAATTCCTTTGTGGAGATGCAAATCTCCAGTATCATTTTTTTTCTGACCAGACGACTTTAATCTTTATTTCATATTTAGTACATGTCTGCAGGTAATGAGTTATTTTGTTTTCTAAATCTAAAAAATATTTAACTTGCCTTCATTTCTGAAGATATTTTTCCTAATGACCATTCTTGGTTGACAGTTTTTTCCTCTCAGTGCTTTAAAAATGTTCCTCCACTGTCTTTTGGCTGGAGCTTTTTATTTTCCTGATGAGAAGTGTGGTACCATTTTAATCTTTGTTCTTCTGCATGTAATGTGTTGTTTTTTTTCTGTCTTCTTTTAAGATTTTCTCTTTATCACTGATTATAAGCAATTTGATTATGATGGGCCATGATGTGCTTTTCTTTTTTTTTTTTTGAGTTGGAGTCTCACTCTTCACCCAGACTGGAGTGCAGTGGCCGCTCTCGGCTGCAGCCTTGACCTGCTGGGCTCCGGCGATCCTTCCGCCTCAGCCTTCCAAGTAGCTGGAACTACAGGCGCACTACCACACCCGGCTCATTTTTGATTTATTGTAGAGATGAGGTCTTGCCAAGTTGCCCAGGTGGGTCTCGAACCCACGGGCTCAGGCAATCCATTCACCTCAGGCTCCCAAAGGCGCGGGATTACAGGCTGAGCCACCGAGCCCGGCTTGATGTGCTTTTCTTTATAAGTTCCTGTATATGAGTTCACTGAGTTTCTTGAGTTTATAGTTTTCAGCAACTTTGGAAAACTTTCATTCATTATTTCTCTATCTTTCTCTGTTTTTCCCTTTCTTTCTTCTCCTTTGGGGACTCCTAATGTGATGATATTAAACTCACTAGAGTTGTCCTTCAGCTCGCTGATCTGATGCCCTGTTCGTTATTGCTGTTTTTTGTCTCAATATCTCTGTGTTACATTTTGGATAGTTTCTATGACCATTGTCTTTGAGTTCACTAATATTTTCTTCTCTTCATTTGCTGTTAATCCCATCCAGTTACTAATCATCTCAGAATTTTCTTCATCACTGGAAGTTTGAGTTACATCTTTGTTTCCTAAAAAAATCGCTTTCATGTTTCTTTTTAACATGTTAATGCTGCTCTCTAGTCTCTTAACATGTGGCATACAGTTATCATAGCTATTTTAATGTCTTAGTCTACTAATTATATTATTAATGTTATTTTCTCTGCCTGTTTTTGCTGATTTTTTTCTCATTATGGAGTATATAGTTCTGCTTCTCGATGTCATTTTTATTGAATGCCAGACATTTCACCATATTAAATATTGAATTTTTTTTATTCTTGTAAATATTTTTGAGCTTTGTTCTAGAATGCAGTTAAGTTACTTGGAATGGGTTTTATTCTGAGGCTTACTTTTGAGCTTTGTTAGGAGACCAGAGCATCCTTCACTCAAGGACTAATTCTGTCTCACTACTGAAGTAATATGTAGGTACTCTGCCCAATTCACTCTCTTTCAGTCTGGCTGCTGGAATCTCAAATTATTTCTGACCCCCATGTGAGCTATGGAGATTTCATTCTGCCAGTTCCTTTTTGGTGGTCTCCTTTTCTTAGCTTGGGGGTAATTTCCTCATAAGCATATGCTGATGAGTTTTCAGCAGAATTGGGAACTGTTTGCACAGTCTAGAGCCCTCTCTGTGATCTTTCTCCTCTTGAGGCCATTCTCTATTCCCTGTGAAACTCTCATCTTTCTAGAACTCTGAACTGAAAATTCTATCCAACCTCTGCCTCCTTAAAACCCCAGCTCTCTCTCCTCAAGAAAGGGAGTTCTCTGGGCCTGGTTGACTTCTCGTTCCCTGCACTGGTAACTGGAAACTCTATCCAGACAGTTCATAATGGCAACTGTGGAGGCTCACTCATTTGCTTTCCTTTTCTCAGGAGTCCCTGTTCTATACTACCTTTGTCCAATCTCTGGAAGCCATTGTATCATGTTTTGTCTGTTGGTCTAGTTATTCAAGATAGGAAGGTAAATCCAGTCTTAGTTCATCCTGGCCAGAAGCAGAAACCTTCTATATTGTATGAATTGTTTAAAAGGAGAATATGCTCTCTTATTACTTGGGTCATTACGAGGTGAGGGAACCAGATATAGATACCCACATTTGCTATCTTTTCAGTCGGGCTGGTGGAATCTCAACTTATTTCTGACCCCGTGTGAGGAAGCAAAGAAGGAAGGTGGATATGATCTCCACTTTCTCCTCAGCCTCAGTCTTCCCCAGAAGGCCCTTCCAGGCCCAAGCAGGTAGAATCTCAGACTATTACCCCCACAAGTGTGCAAGTGCTCACTGGGCCCCAGGCCTCACCTAGCACCAGCCCAATAACTGTATGATGACCCCAGGGCAGCCTGTAGGCTCTGTCAACCCAATAAGGAGTAACAGATTAGGAGAATTTTCAAGAAGAAGGATTCTAGATGGAGTCCAGTGCTCTGGTTAGATAGATGAGGAAACTGGGAGCGGGGGAGGCACGGAGTTGCACAAATATTTGATCAGATAGAGGTATGAACAGAAAAACAAATGCTACATGATCTCGCTCATTTGGGTAATCTTAAAAAGCTTATCTCATAAAAATAAAGATTATAATAGTGCTTACCGGGGCTGTGGAGAGATTGGTCAATGGGTACACAAAATTACAATTAGATGGGAGGAATAAATTCTGATGTTCTGTTGTACAGTAGGGTGACTACAGTTAACAATATTGTATTGTCTATTTCAAAGTAACCAAAAGAGAGAATTTTGAATGTTCTTACCACAGAGAAATGATAAATTATTGATGTGATGGATAAACTAATTACCCTGATTTGATTATGTAATGTATACATGTATTGAAATAACACACAGTACCCTTTAAGTATATAAAATTATTATATGTCAATTAAAAATAAAATAAAACCTTTTAAAGAAAAACCAGGACTGAGATCTGCCAAGTAAAACCCTGGCTCTCCTAGTTCCAGATCTTTCCACCGCACCAAACAGAAAGTTAATTAAGAAAAAAAAGATTCAGAACAACAGCCACAACATCAGGAGCAGAAGCGGCAGCAATGGCAGCGGCGGCCTCCCCAAACCCCAACCCCACAGTCGCCACCCCGTCCCCAGGGGCGGGCGGCAGGGGCAGCGACGGTAGCGACAGCGGCTGAACGAAACTGGTCACCTGCAGGTATTTTCATGCATGGGGTTTGTAAGGAAGGAGATAACTGTTGCTACTCGCATGACCTCTCTGACAGTCCATATGATGTAGTGTGCAAGTATTTTCAGCGAGGGTATTGTATTTATGGAGACCGCTGCAGATATGAACATAGCAAGCCATTGAAACAGGAAGAAGCAACTGCTACAGATCTAACTACAAAGTCCTCACTTGCTGCTTCCTCAAGTCTCCCATCAGTAGTAGGGCCACTTGGTGAAATGAATACAGGAGAAGCTGAGTCAAGAAATTCAAACTTTGCAACTGTAGGAGCAGGTTCAGAGGACTGGGTGAATGCCATTGAGTTTGTTCCTGGGCAACCCTACTGCGGCTGTATCGTACTTTGAGGCCCGTGAGAAGGACATGGAGCTCTCATTTGCTGTGCAGCGCAGCAAGGACATGGTGTGTGGGATCTGCATGGAGGTGGTGTGTGAGAAAGCCAACCCCAGCGAGGGCCGTTTGGGATCCTGTCCAACTGCAACCACACCTACCGTCTCAAGTGTATTCGCAAGTGGAGGAGTGCTAAGCAATTTGAGAGCAAGATCATAAAGTCCTGCCCAGAATGCTGGATCACATCTAACCTTGTCATTCCAAGTGAGTACTGGGTGGAGGAGAAAGAAGAGAAGCAGAAACTCATTCAGAAATACAAGGAGGCAATGAGCAACAAGGCGTGCAGGTATTTTGATGAAGGATGTGGGAGCTGCCCATTTGGAAGGAACTGTTTTTACAAGCATGCGTCCCCTGATGGCCGTAGAGAGGAGCCACAGACACAGAAAGTGGGAACATCAAGCAGATACCGGGCCCAACGAAGGAACCACTTCTGGGAGTTCATTGAGGAAAGAGAGAACAGCATCCCCTTTGACACCGATGAAGAGGTTGTCACCTTTGAGCTGGGCGAGATGTTGCTTATGCTTTTGGCTGCAGGTGGGGACGACGAACTGACAGACTCTGAAGATGAGTGGGACTTGTTTCATGATGAGCTGGAAGATTTTTATGACTTGGACCTAGAGCATCCTTGCGTGGCGTGTGAACTGGTCCGCTGAGCCTCAGACAGTAGCTGTCCCCTGTGGTGGTGTGATCTCTCCTAGGCAGGCCTATCAACTCCAGGTGCTGTCCTCATAATTTTACCCAGGGTCTGTCTTCTCCACCCCTCACCTTTCTCCAAGGAGCGTGTTGTTTTCTCTGTTGAAAAAGTTACAAAAATAAATCTTCAAGTTAGAAAAAAAGAAAAGACGGACTTGCAAAAACAGTAATGCTTCCAATTGTTCAATAAGGAATTTATAAATATGTTATTAAAAAAAGAATACAGCTAGGAATTAGACACATGCGAAAGCTCTCTATTCTAACAAGAGAAGTTGATGAAGTCAGAGCAGGATACAGAGCAGCGTGTCAAGTACAACCATTAACAAATACAGGAGACAGGGTTGTACCCAGGCTCAGCGGCTCATGCCTGTGATCCCAGCACTTTGGGAGGCTGAGGTGAGGAGTATCTGAGCTCAGGGGTTCGAGACCAGTCTGAGCAACATGGCGAGACCTCATCTCTACAATAAATCAAAAAAATCAGCTGGGTGACACATGCCTGTGGTTCCAGTTGCTTGGAAGGCTAAGATGGATCACCTGAGCCAAGCAGGTCGAGGCTGCGGTGGCTATGAGCATGCCACTGTACTCCAGCCTGGGCAACAGAGTGAGACTCTAACTTAAAAAAAAAATACAAGAGATAGGATTAAGATGGCCAACATGAGGCAGCTAGAGTAAGTTTCTCCTATAGCGTAAGCCAATATTAAGAGAGTTTCTTCAGTAATCAGAAAGGAATGGGGCAGCACCACAAACCATGACTCTTTAAAGGAGTGATAATTTAAAGCAAAGAAGAAGGAAAAAAATCCATTGACCTAGGCTGGCACTGGCCAGACTTTCACCTGCACTAACATTGTCTATCACAGCCTCCAGACATAGGGGGGAAGGTAGTGAGAGGAATACAGGAGTTCTGTGTTCCTGCTGTGAACTTGTACCCTAGGGTCCCTTGAGCCTTGCAGGTCTCCAGTCCCTCACAGGAAACTGCCTTACCCACAGCTATGCTTTGCCATGGAGTGGTGAAAGAAAAAGCCATTAGCAGTACCAGCCGCCATTTCCTAGGAACTCAACCACTGTAGGCTTGGTTATGTATTGCCTTGATGTGGTGAGTTTCTCAATTGTCAACTGTGGTAGTCCTGTGCTGGCTACCACAGCTGCTTTTCAGATGACCTGGGAGGGGACAGCCCCAATGGCAAGCTTCATAGCTGCAGACAGTTCCTGGCTGGATGGGTTTCCTGAGAACACCTGAGGCCCTGAGGCAAGCTGCTCCTTGACATTCAGATTGCCTGAGGCCAAAGTGGAAGCCAGGTGGGACTCATTGCTATAGCAACCTCACTCCCCATGTAAACTCTTCTGTATCTTCCCTGCACAGCAGTATTACTACAGTGGCCTAAGACTCCCTCCCAATTCCCACTGGGGTAGCCAAGAGTGCACACTTGCAGGACACTTCATCTCCTTTCCCCTGCACTCCCCTTGAAAGCTCAAAATAGACAGAGATCTTAGGAAATCCCCAGAGCCCCACCCTCAGTCTAGGCTGGCTAGGCATTTCCTTGGAGCAACACTCATTAAGGAGAAATCCTACAGCCACCATCAAGCTGGCTTACTCCCACAAGTGCCACCTCCTGGCCAGAGGCCAACACTATAGTCCACCACATTGGATATAACACTTCAGCTTTGGGGAAGGCATGATCCCAAGCCCCAGCTGACAATACTATCCAAGCCACTCTGGCCACTCAGGACACTGTGAGCCAGTGCACACAGGACTGCCACAACTAGCAATTGAGAAGCTTCCCACATCAAGGCTATATATGACCAAAGAAACTCTACAGTGGTGATGTCAACTCCCTGCCAACCTCAAATAAGAAGAAATAGTCTAACAAATGAGAAGGAACCAGAAAAATAATTCTGACAATATGAAAAAACAAGGTTCTCAAACATGCCAAAAATACCATACCAACTCTTCAGCAATGAACTCTAACCAAAATGAAAAATTTGAGATTCTAAACATAGAATCCCAAACATAGAATTAAAAGGATTGATTATAAAATTGATTAATGAACTTCAGGAGATGTCTACAGCTGTGAAGCTTGCCCTTGGGGCTGCCCCTCCCAAGTCATCTGGAAAGCAGCTGTGGAAGCCAGCACAGGACTGTCACAGCTGATAACTGAGAAACTCACCACATCAAGGCAATACATAACCAAGCCCACAATGGTTGAGTTCCTAGGAAATGGCGGCTGGTACTGCTAATGGCTTTTTCCTGCACCACTCTATGGCAAAGCATAGCTGTGGTTAAGGCAGTTTCCTGTGAGGGACTGGAGTCCTGTAAGGCTCAAGGAGCCCTAGGGCATAAAAACCAACATCAAGAAATTAAATTTTAAAAAAAGATTCAGGACATGAATGTAAAATTCTCCAAAGAGACAGACACTTTGAAAAAAAAAAAAAAAAAAACCAAGCTGAAATTCTGGAAATGAAAGAATCATTCAGGGAAGTGTAAAAATCCAGTGGGAAGTTTTAAAAGTAGACTAGAAAAAGCAAAAGAAAGGATCTCAGAACTTGATAAGGCCTTTGAATTAATTTAATCAGACAAAAAAAAGGAATTAAGAGAACAGAACTAAGGGAGGATAATGTAAAGCATCCAAACCTAACAATCATAGATATTCCTGAGGAAGAAGGGAAAGCACTCGGTTTGGAAAACCTATCTGAGGGAATAATAGAGGAAAACGTCCCTGGCCTTGCCAGAGATCTGAGCCTCCAGATATAAGAAGCTCAAAGAACATCCAGGAGACTCATGGCCAAAAGGTCATCCCCAAGGCATATAATCATCTGGTTACACAAAGTGAACATGAAGGAAAGAGTTATAAGAGCAGTAAGACAAAAGCATCAAAACCTTACAAAGGTAAGTTTCAATATACCTTTAAAGACAAAACAGACTTTAAGTGAACAATAATTTAAAAAAAGACAAAGATGGGTATTATGTAATAATGAAGGGATCAATCCAATGAGAAGACATAACAATCTTAAATATATATGCGTCTAAGGCCGGAGCCCCCATTTTTATAAAACAAATTCTACCAGTCCTAAAAAAAAAAAAAGCTGATCAGACTAACAGCAGACTTTTCAGAAGAAACCTTACACGCCAGAAGGGATTGGGACCCCATCTTCAATCTCCTCAAACAGAATAACAGTAAGCCAAGGATTCTGTGTTCCACAAAACTAAGTTTCATACATGAAGGAAAAATGAAGTTCTTCACAGACAAGCAAATGCTAAGGGAATTTTTTACCACTAGACTAACTCTATAAGAAATATTCAAATACCGAAACACACCAGTAGAAAAATACTGGAAGTCATAAACTTCATAACCCTTATGGAACACCAACACAATAAAGAAAACAAACAATTAAAGCAACCAGATAACAACCAATATGATGAACAGAATAGTACCTTACATATCATTATGAACTCTGAACATAAATGGTCTAAATACCCCACTAAAAAGAGATAGACTGGCAAATTAGATAAAATATACACAACCCTAAACATCTGCTACTTTCAAGAGACCTACTTAACTCACAAAGACTATAGATTCAGAGTAAAGGCTGGGGGGTGGGGGAGGGAGGAATATTCCACACATTACAATTGATACCACAGAAATGAGCAGGAGTAGCTATTCTCATATCAGATAAAACAGACTTTAAATTAACAACAATAAAAAAAAAACAAAGATGGGCCTGGCTGGGTGACTCAGCCTATAATCTCAGCCCTTCGGGAGGCTGAGGCAAGTGGATTGCCTGAGCCTGCAGGTTTGAGACCAGCCTGGGCAACTTGGCGAGACCTCGTCTCTACAATAAATAAAAAATTAGCCAGGTGTGGTAGCACGCACCTGTAGTTCCAGGTACTTGGAAGGCTGAGGCGGAAGGATCGCCAGAGCCCAGCAGGTCGATGTTGGGGTGGCTGTGAGTGTGTCATTGCACTCCAGCCTGGGTGATGGAGTGAGACTCCAATTCAATAAACAAACAAACAAAAGAGACAAAGATGACTATTATGCAATAATGAAGAGATCGATTCAATGAGAAGACATAGCAATCTTAAATATATGAGTCTAAGGCCAGTGCCCCCAGCTTTATAAAACAAATTCTACCAGACCTAAACAAAGAAATAGCAATACAATAATAGTAGGAGACTTAAATACTCCACTGACAGCAATAGACAAATCACCAAGATAGAGAGTCAACAAAGAAACAAAGGAGTTAAACCAGGCTCTAGAATAAATGGAACTAATAGATATACACAGAATATTTCATCCCAAACTGTAGAATATACATTTTTCTTGTCAGCACATGGAACAATCTCCAAGAAAGACCATATGATAGGTCACAAATTAAGTCTCAGTAGATATTGAAACTCCATCAAGCATCATCTCAGACCACAGTGGAATAAAACTAGAAATTAACTCCAAGAAGAACTTGCAAAACCAAATGCAAACATGGATACTAAACAATATGCTCCTGAATGATCCTTGGGTCAACAATAAAATCAAGATAGAAATTTAAAATTTTCTCAAAATGGCTCAGCCTATAATCCCGGCACCTTGGGAGGCTGAGACAAGTGGATTGCCTGAGCCCACGGGTCCGAGACCAGCCTAGGCAACTTGGTGAGATCTCATTTCTAAAAAAAAAAAAAAAAAAAAAAAAAAAAAAATATATATATATATTTTTTTTTTCCAGGCTTGGTAGCACATGTCTATAGTTCCGGCTGCTTGGAAGGCTGACGTGGAAGGATCGCCAGAGTCCAGCAGGTTGACACTGGGGTGGCCGTGAGTGTGCCACTGCACTCTAGCCTGGGCGATGGAGTGAGACTCTGACTCAAAAAAAAAAAAAATTCTCGAAATGAATGACAGCAATGGAACAAGTTAGTAAACCCTCTGAGACATAGCCAAAGCTGTGCTCAAAGAAAAATTTATAGTGCTTAAGGCCTACCTTAATAAGGCTGAAAGACTGCATACTGACAACCTGACATCACACCTCAAGGAACTAGAAAAACACAAACAAACCAAACCCAAAGTTAGCAGAAGAAAAGAAATAATGAAGATCAGGCTGGGCACAGTGGCTCACACCTGTAATCCCAGCACTTTGGGAGGCAGA